ATTGTAATATCTTGGGATCTATAGTGGATTCTTCTATTTAGGGAAACTACCACACAGATAAAAAGGGGCTACCGCTCCATCCCACACCCTCCGCTGAGCAGACAAACGACCCATCGCCTTCATCCTCCGAAGCATCGCTGGCAACTTAGCATGTAGGCTCAGCTCAACGTCTGAGAAATGTGAATGTTGCAATCTGCAAGTCTACGCTAGAACCTCTGAGGACCTCCCAGCGACAACATAGGGAGCAAACAAAGCTCTTAGGCACGCGCGCTCTCCAAAGCTGTCATCGTCCGCGTTCGTGCTGGCAAGGACTGTGCCAAAGGCCCCTGTTCAACAGATGCTCTGTGACTCAGAATTGGGCAAGGCTACCATCCACCAAATCTCAACAAAGGCTAGCCGCAGGCCGTTTCCGGTTTGTTGCACTTGCTATCGCGCAGGCTGTCTCTTGCAAGCCTGTGTAAAATCTGCGCAGGGCGCAAGCTGAAAAATGTGCAATTGTGAGACAGTTGACTCAGTGTATAAACAATGTTGGCAGATTACTGATTCATACTGCCACTTCAGAAGCAATGCCAACCCACAGCAGGTGATGCTGTAAGATTGTCCAAAAGATGCAACAAAACTTAAGTGGCGCTCACTTTGTTCGTTTGTAGACTTTCTTCAAGAAGATCTCGATGATCTCCCAGGGAAGGCCAACTTCTTCAACCTGGCTCTGGTAGGCCATGATGTCTTTGAAGGACTTGGCCTCGTAGGCCTTGTACTTCTCTTCCAGACCAATTTCCCGGTAGATGTCCTTAATCTTATTCTCTTCCTCCGTTTGCACCTTGCACTTTCCGTAGTGCTCGTCCAGGTATGCTTTCTGCTCTTTAGAGCACAGGTCATGATAGGCCTGAACAAAGAGCCACCCACATTTCTTGTCCTGGATATCGGTGCCAATCTTTCCAAGAGTTTCCGGAGGAGCGAAGGCATCCAAATAGTCATCCTGTGCCTGGAAGTAAACCCCCATCAAGAGCAAGGGCTCCCGGGCCGCGTCGTAGGCTGCCTGATGCTGGATGCCAGCCACTGTCATGCCCAGGGCCACGGGCAGGTAGAAGGAGTAGAAGGCGGTCT